ACTAATTTTGTTTGCTCAACGTTTCTCAACTTATCCCATTTAGTCGGGTCTAGGACAACAAGCTGACGGGACTTCAAGCCGAAGGGACTTCAAGCCGAAATTAAAACTTTACAAGCACCTCAAAACACTATTTTATCATCTCTAAAAAAACGTTGTTTTTCAAAAGTTTTGGCAAGTTTAGTCCATAATAAACGTTATTCATGACAAGGCACCACTTGTGATTGGCATCCGTTAATAACATCAGCCGGTTTTTGAAATGCATAAATAATAAACATGAAAAATGCCTTCAACCATGTTTTACTTTTCAAGTTTCCGAAACCTCATTTGGAGGCTTAAATTTTGTGCAACGTCAATAACTTGTGAAGAAAGATCATGAAATTGAGAAAGTTTTCAAAAAAGTTTTCAAACTAATCATATTTCACGAGTTTATAAGGAACTATTCGGCTTGGAGTCCCTAATTTTACGATTCCGCTTGAAGTCCCGTCGGCTTGATGTCCGGCACCCCATTTAGTCAAGTAAGATTTTCTTTGTTTCTGCTTCCGATTGAATCAATTTGAAAAAAAAAACTACAAAAAAATGAATTTTTGACAGAAAACATTTTTTGGAAGGATCGTTTACTAATTCAAAGCAAGGTTATTTCTGTCTGAAGTTTGTTTTGCAAGTGTAAAAGTGTAGAGTGTAAAATGTTACCAAAAGTCGATAATAGGACAATGAACACGTTTTGTCGTTTCTGTTGAAAACAAGCGTCTTCTCTTCCTGTTTCCCTCATAAATTTGAACTGCGATACAAATTGATCTAATTCGAGCTAAGATATGCTCTCCAAAGTGCTGTAACTATCAAATTATTGCTCATAATAACTTAAACTATGCTGAAGTTAAGCTTAAACTTGGCTGAAACCTCCGACGACTCGGAAAAATTGTGGAAAGTCAAGTTTATTTTTGCTCGACTCAATATCTGTCCACATTTCTCTGCTTTAAATCTTTTATTTTGATAGTTGAGTAGCTTTCTGTCGAAGTGAATCTCAATTATAGCAAATTTCATGGAAATTCCTTGAAAAATAAAATGATTTTTGTTTACAATTTGTTGTATTTCACCTTTTGAGTTTACAAATTTTTATACAAAATTAAAGCGCTGTGTAGTTCTTCTTTAATCTTATTGATCAAACTTCAGAGAAATTTCAAAATTCTTGCTGAACTGCCACAATATTATGTTTTATCAGAGTTTTTAAATCTCAATTATCACCCTAGTAACTAAAAAATGACGCTGTTGTAGAACGTTTTGGGCACAAATCTCGACAATTACTTCTATTTTTCAACGAAATTGATTCAAATGTGGAAAAAACTCTGTCTAAAAAACCAAATATTTTCTACTTATCTGTACTACTACTGTATGGATCTTGAAACAAAAACTACAACTTCTTGCATTTTTTTTCACCTAATTCAAATCAATATTGAGAAAAATAGCGTAAAATCATTTTTCATTGCTAAAGTCTCTCTAAGATTTGGGTGAAGCTGATTAAAAGCATATTCGAAGCAAGCATATTTGAAGTAAATTTCAAGTATCATATCAAAGACTGAACTGGAGATTTTTTACATCCGTTTCTGCTGAAATGAACACAGTTCTTGAAAAATTCCAATAATTTTAAGTAAAAGTATGACGTGAAAGCAGAATCATCTTTTCTGCTTCATCCTTTTTCTTCCAAGCAAACTCTTTTTGCATGAAATTCCATGCTAAAAATGATTTAAGGGAAACACTGTATCAATTAACCGATAATTTTAAAATCTAACGAAGAGTTATTTTAGATAATTTCTCCAAAAAAGTACTTAAGTCTATAAATTCCCTTTTATCAAATGATAGAAAAAAAGTGTCTATCAATTCTATATAAATGCCTAAAGTTGAGAACTTTTTTTTGTGTTATAATTGCGTAAGCTATAGTTTGTATGCAAGTTTCAAACTATTTTTTTTTGCGCAGTTCCTCAACTATTCCAATAAACTTCAACCTATTTTTTTGCCATTTTCTCAAGTTTTTTGTGTCTGATTCAAAACTGAATTTAAGCAAAAAACTATGTGCTAAAGGTTCGTTTGCTAATTCAAAGCAAAGTTAGCAGCAAAATTTTTTCTTTTCATAGTACAAACATACAAATTCAGAAAAATCTCTGAACCAAAAAGTGTAATCCTTTGTTTTATCACTTAATTTCAATTTTGAAGCTAACTTTCAGACTGGAAACAATTTTTAAATCTTGAAATGGTCAAAGTCAGTCAAAACATCAGATTTTTCATCTTGGCCGTCAGTTTTTGAATTTTTTAAATCGTGGAAATTATTTTAAAAAATCTTGAATCGGAGTGCATAAGCCTCCATTTATTCGCTTGGAAATTTCCTTTCTTGATTCTACCTAAATTTACTAAATTAGTAAAAACATAAAATCAATAATTAAACAAAACGGTTGAATAATTCGATTTGATAAAAACCAATAAAATAAAAAACAATGTTTCATTGCATACTTCTGTTTGTCTTTCAGTGCAGAAATCCAAGAAAAACATTTGTTGTATAGAAAATTCTGAAGGTTTTCAGACAATATTTAACAGATTTGCTCTTAATCTATTCACCAAACTTCGCGTAAAGTTTTAACCGTAAACTCTCCATTTAGCAGTTACATGTGCTTTTTTATTTGACGTTGATCGATTTAACTTGTTCTAATTCTCCCTGACCTGAATTTTTTGAGAATCTGATGACGAAAATTAAGAATGAAAAGTGACATTAAGATTAATTTGCAAGAAAATTGATATTAAGTTTGCGGAAAAAATTTACAAATGCGAGATATAAAAAGCAGAAAAGCTAAATTCATTGCAATTTTTTGTTCTGTAGATGCGAAAGAGATTACTAACATGTATGAAGAGATGTCGGTTAAATTCACTCACATTCGAATATGCTTTTAATGTGCTTTTACGAAATTTTCAGGTGACGTTAGCAACAAAGTTAATTTTACACTAATGATCGTTATTGCAATTTAAGGAAGTAGAAGAATCTCCAGAAGTTAAAGTTTTTGTTTTTGCAAGATCCATTCATGACTATTACAGATGATTAAGTAAAAAAGTTATGGAATTTTAGAAGAGTATGCACTTCCACCATATTTGAATGAATATCCTTAAATACAAGATGTAATTTTCGAAGTTTGTGTCTGAAGTTTTCTCCAACTTTGTCTTTTTTAATTGCTAGGGTGATGATTCTGATACGTGATAATTTAGTACACGTGGATAATTCGGATAAACTTGGATTCTGTGAGATTATGGCAGTTCAGCAAGAATTTTCAAGTTTCTCTGAAGTTTTATCAATTTGGTCAAAGAATCAAACACAGTGCTTTATTTTTTCTTTTTCTTGATAAAAGCGGTATAATCTTAGATCAAATTGCGAGGTGAAATCTAGTCGTGGTTTTTTTCTAGAAGTTTTTGTAAGTTATTCAAACGATCAATAACTCACAAAAACGTCTAGAAAAAAATTATGTCTAGATTTCACCACGAAATTTGATCTAAGATTATACTGCTTTTATACAAGAAAAATAAAAAAAAGCACTGTTTTTGATTCTTTAACCAAATTGATAAAACTTCAGAGAAACTTCAAAGTTTTTTTGATTTTTTGACCGTTTGTTAAACTTTTTTGAATATTCTCAATATTTACCCTGCCATGTCTAGTTTGGGTTCAATTCAAAGAGCCGGTTTTAGAAACCTCGTTAGCTTATGCGACTGCGCCCAAATTTTCTTACACCAAAAGTTTAAGCCCTAGGAAAAATCAAATTTTTCTTAAAAATTGACTTTTCTCGAAGTACCCTCCCAAATCTGAGGTTGCGTGTTACTTCGAAATGACAGGTTGCTCGAATTCCTTCTGTATAAGCGGCTACGCCTTATTTTCTCACTCAAAAATCTTATGATCTCGGAATTGTGAAATATTTGATATGTTGACAGTTTTGACTTTTCTCGCTTACTATCCTGCCAGATCTGATATTATGTTTAATCAAAACAACAAGTTGTTGAACGCCTAACTTTATAATTGGCTATGCCCAGTTTGATCAAGACGAAAGTTATGGCCTTCCAACAAGACAAAGTTTCGAAATTTTGACAGTTTTTGAAAATTTTTGCCTTACCGCGAAAACTACCGTTTCAATTCTCAGGTTGTGTTCAATCTTGAAATTCGGTTTTGGGAGTGTTTTCTGGTTAAGAGGCGATAACCTGATTTTTGTACAAAAACTTTATGTATTTTGGAAGGTCTATAGACTGTTTCTTGGGACTTCTGACCGTTTTTTAGAAACTTGAATTTTCTTAAAATTTAAACAATCAAATCATCAATTGTAAGAACTAGTTGTTGCTGCGATAGTTGTTGCTGCAGAAGCGGCGACTCCCTTATTTTTTGTAAGAGGAATGTTATCTTATTGGGAAAATTGAATATCTCATAATTTTTCTTACTCATAACTATTTTAATAGGGGAACATTCAAGGTTGTTTAGCAAATTCCAATTTTTGAAATAACTTTTTTTTCGTGCCACATCAGTATAGCAAATTCATTCAGTATCAAACACGCGCATCCAGTTTTAACTTGGCCCCTAGTCGAAAATTTTGGTTCACCGACTTTTTTCAACATTTGAAATTTTTGACTTGAGTTTTTTTTGGGTTGTATCGCGAGTGGTGGGAAGCTCGGCTTCGCTTCTGTGTAAAACGGAAAACCTAATTGCTCAAAAATTTTCGAACAACAATTTCCTCTGGCATTTTTTCTTTTCGGATCAATGGGCTTTTACCAGTTTGTTTTCGGCTTAGGTGCTGGTCGGTAAATAAAAAAACTTTATTTAATACTGGTTGTTTTTCGGCTGTTTTTCTGAAATTAAATTCATTTTGTTCCATTTTTTAAATTTTTTATTTCCGCCTGGTCTCATATTCGCTGTTAAACCGGGCAGACATCTGTTAAATTTTTTTGAGATTTGAGTGCAGCGATATTTTAATTTTTTTTTTCAGATTTATGCTAGTGTAGATTACTCTTTTTATTACTAAACCCTTTGATCAGCAATGAATTGTCGAAAATCAACTAGGCCGTTTCATTGTCTTCTTAGACAGCTTGCGCCTGTGAAACATTCTCAAGATTGCCATTTAGGTGCTCGTTTTAACAACAGTATAACTTGTGCAGTACAAACTTCCTCTTTCAACATGAAACAAAGCAGAAATTTGAGCAGCAATAGTAGCATCCCCAGAAGTATCGACGACAAAGAAATGGCGTTATTGGTAGACAAATACGCCAAATACTCGCCCTCACCTTTGTCGGTACAAAACTTCATTGACTTTGGTAAGCTTCATTTAGCATAGCTTAACTCCACTTCGATTTTAATGTTGAGCGAGACTGTTCGTCATTTTCCAACTAAACAATTGGAAAGACGTCAAAATTGTTTATTTAGTCAGACAAAATAAACAAAAGAAACGCCCCCAGGTTCTTATGTAGCAATAAATGTGACCCCATTATTCAATGTTGCCTATCATTGGCTCATGTTCCTATATAACTTACGCCACCAGAATCTAAATGGCAAACTGATATCTTAGTTATGTTCAGTTAATCATGCATCACGCATTTTGAAGTGAACTTGAACCAGAAGTCGATAATAACATTCGGGTTAGCTTTCCCATGTTAAAATTAGAGTTGAAATTTGGCCTTTAATTTCAGGAAGTCGGGCAGCGACAGAGAAGTCTTCCTATTTCTTTCTGAGAAAAGAAATTCCAGTTAGGCTGGCTAACATCATCAAAGAAATTTCTTACTTGCCACCGAGGTTGCTCAAGATGCCGTCCATCGATCTAGTTCGATCGTGGTTGGTTTGTTGGCTTAGTTTCTATCTATTTTTTTTTTCAAATTGTGGCTAGGAACTAAATGGCAGTTCTGAAGTGTCGACAAGTGTTATTTAAGTATATAGTTGTAAGACAGATATATTTAGGTACTTATTGAGTCTACGAGAGTGCCTGGAATTCAGTACTAATGAAAATCCTTCTCCCAAAGCTGTCAAAAAGTAAGAAATCTTTGCAAGTCTTATAAATTAAAATGGTTTAACTGACCTAAATATGGTTTCCCTAAAATCTTCAACAAGAGAAACTATCGCAGAACTGTAAACGTAGGTCTCGATCGACGTTGGTTGTAGGTCGATCTACAGTGGTCAGCCTTAGTTAAGCATCGCTTAGCAAGTGAGGGGCTTTTTTCCGAAAGAAATAGCAATTCTGTTGATAAATGTATACATTATGTACACAGGCGAGCTTGCGAGATGATCAGTCCACTTTTTTTCCATCAAACTCCCCTTTTTTCGAGCAACAATTATGTAAATAGTAGTTTGAAACGTTAGCGTATTTGAGAGGATTCGACCCGCTCACCACTGCCCGGAACAATAGTGTTCACCTTTTTACACCAAAGCAATTTTTTCTAATGACGCCTAGGATTTTCTGGATGTGAGGAACTTCTGTGCCGCAGCTAAAATTTAAAGGCTAAACCTGTTTTTACGCTCTCTTTGAAAGGTTATGGCCAAAATCGCGGTTTTAAGCACGTGCTCCCCTCTTTAAATTAGTATATAATTGCGGAGCAGAAATTATTCGCTAAGTGCGTAGTGTTTTGGGAGAGCTCGGATCAATTGGTCGACCTGAAAGTTTCGAATTTTTGAAAATTCCTCCCACCCCCCTCTTTCGTCGGGAAAACCCTAGACTCGCACATGGTTTGAAAGGCATTCTTTATACAATTTTCAAGCTATCATCATCTTGAGCTCAAATATAAAAAGAGATTTAAGGTAATCATTTCATAGTTTCCTGGAAGTTGGTAGTTTGTTGGCCTAAGTTGTGCTCGACTCTATGCTTCTCTTGATGATGCTTAAGGTGAAAACACGTTGAAATAATCTGAAACTGAAAGCGATTATTTCCTTTCCAAGTTGAATTAAATTACCTTTCCAAGTTGAATTAAGGCACGCTAATTGGTCCATATAGTTGTTGCACTCAAATTATCTCGAGCCTTTTGGTTTAATCCTTGCCAATTGGAGCGAAAGTTAAACTGTAACATTTTACTAGGGAAAAGGCGATCCGTTAGTATGTGGATCCTACTGAGGCATCCGACTACTGGAACATGCAACAAAATTGATAAAAATAAACGACAAACAATTTGGTTTTATGGATGTTAGATCAACTACCGATGCCGTTTTTCTTATTAGATAATTGATGCAATTATTTGCGGAAAAGAGAAAAGCACTGCATCACATTTATTGATCTCGAAAAAGCTTCGACTGTGTCCATGGTCATTTAGGCAACAGAGAGTTCCCGAAAAACTGGTTACGGCTGATAATGTGTCTATACACCGAGTCGAAAACCAGAGTTTGTGGCATCAGGGATGCATGGATTACTTTGAAGTTGAAGTAGGCTTGCATCAAGGATCAGCTTTTAGCCCATTGTTATTTATAATAGTAATCAAGGAGGCTAGAAAAAACTGTCGTTCCATGGTACCGTGGGATATGCTATCTGCAGATGACCTTGTGATATCAGCTGAAACGGAATCACAGTCTATAGAAAAGTTTAAAACTTGGAGCAAGGCTTTACACTTTAGAGGTTTGAAAGTTAACTTGTACAAGACAAAGCATTTTATTTCAGGCCAAAAGTGCATTTCTCAAAAAAACCGGAAAATTTCCATGCGCTTGTTGTTTAAAGGGAGTCGCCGGCATTTCAAAACACTGCATTTCATCTAATTAATGGGTGCATAAAAATGCAGTGGTCTGAGGAAAATAACCAAACTTAAGACTAATTATGTTTGTGCAAGATGCAATAATCCTTCCAATTATCGCTCAAAACAAAATACGGCTCTAGGATCAACCAATCTGAAACCCTGGAAACTGTCAAAAAATGTTTCTATCTGGTGACATGATTTCCGGTGAAAGTAACGCATTACGTGCATCATCGGTCAGAATAGCAGCTTTCTGGACGAAATGGCGCGAGATTGTGCCTCTGCTGCTGAATATTGAATTGATTACAAGGGGTCATATCGACGGAGTTTGTCCCCGGCCTGTTCTCATTTACTGCATTGAAACTTGGGCGCAGCATGGCTTACAGGAGTCACTTACGAAGACAGAGTTAGGAACGAAGTAGTAATTAAAATGACCGGTCTGATTGATCTGACAAGCTACAAGTGCTGTCACGGCTAGGACGGTTTGGCCTTAATAATCGAAGAAAAAATGACCATGCGTCAAAACCAACAGACTGTGTTCCAGTCCCAGGGAAAAGACCATTAGGAAGACCTCAAAACGCTGCATCGATTGTGTTAAACGAGACCTGAATTTTTTAAACCTCAAAACCACACTGACTTGATTCAAGGCATAGAAAAAACGTGTTTTTTTTCCATCAACTAACTTGAATGCAATTCAGAATGCCCTAATCTGATTGCTGTAATTGGTCAAGCTATCCAAATATACCATTGCTTACGCATTTACTGAATATCCAACCCCACCACTATGGAAAAACGGGCAATAATCGGATTAGTAATATAAGTAGTAGTTGTAGTAACTCAAGTTATAATTTTTATTACTCGCTGTCGCGACCATTCGAAAAATGTGGAGGAACTTGTATTCGGGTGTGTTCTAGTTTTTCCCACAAAAAATCAGGTAACTCAAGTAATCATTGATATGGGTCGAGTGATATGTCATATCAAAGCCCTCTCAGTCGTGATTGAAACGACATTTAAACCTTGTGATTTGTTTTTCTCAGTTCCGAGAAAAACCAGTCCGAAATTTTCTGATTTCGGTCTAATTTCAAGATAATAAGGTGAGGCTGAGCAGGCTTACAAAAGCTGATTTATGCTTAATTTAACCTTTTTCAAGTAAAGTTGATTTTGGAGTTTTAGCGCCAATTTGTAAATCAAAAGCTTCAAATTTTGAAAATTTTCTGCAAAAAAAAGTATTTGAAGATTTTTATTTAGTTATTTTTTTTTACAAAAACTGTTTTCCAATTGGCCTATTTCTATGAATGTCGAATATGCCTAAGTCTAATTAATGTTTAATTTTATTGCTAATTTCAACTAGTGTTTGCGAAAGGTAGATTTGCCTCTGTGATAAACATCATGACACGAGCTTCATCCGTTTGCATTAAGCGCGTTGTGGATGGTAGGTATTACCGAAGTGTATGTCTTCTCTCAGGCGGCCGCAGTATAGTGGTTAGAGCCTTAATCGATTATTTATAGTATATTAATTTAATTTGAAAGTTGAACACCTTAATTACCAGTGGGTTAGGGGATCATAGGGAGGGTTAGCTTATTGTAATCTTACCAACTCATCGAGATAGATTTCCGCTTTTCTACTACCATCGTATTAGGCCTCAATTGCATTCACTTTGATGATTTTTTGTGCCTTGAAACATCGGAGAGGAACTTTCCGAGCACCCAGATTCTTAGACTGGAACATTGGTTTGTGTTCAACGATTTTCTCCAGTTTTTACACATCAACATAATAGATCTGCCATCAAACTTCAAGCGTTTAATACGAAACTTGCTACAGGAGCACTCCAGAACCTTATACAGTCTGCACAGAACTTGTACCTGGTACTTGCAGTGCCGATGCTGCTCATGTGTTTGCTAAACTAATTTAGTAAATATCTGTGAAATAATTTTTTTCTAACACCGCTGTTTTTTTTGTTAAATTTTTAACTTGTTCATGAAATTGCCACTCTCATTTGAGTAATTTAAGTTTTTTACTACTACTTCTACTCCTACTAGCGCTGCCGAGTCGAATGTTTGAAGGTAGTTGGTGAAAAACCGTTTTTGGAACGCATTTGCCTATTTTCGTATAGTAAAACTGAGAAACACGGTTTTTCGATAACTATTCCGATTCTGGATGAAAAAAACGAAAATGGCTCGGAAAAAAGCGAAAAATTTTCGAAAAAAAGAACGATTTTCCAGTTTTTTCATTAAAATCATCAAACACCGTTTTCTAGTTAAGTCTTATCCTTTTTGGTAATTTTGGAAATTAGTCCATTCATAGATAAAGCTCGGTAAGGTTTTTTTAAATGAGCAAAAAGTGATAATCAGAAGTTAAGAAAGTTCTGGCACCAGAACCTCAAATTAGTGCCAAAATTGTCAAAGATTTAAAATCCCATATCTTTCGAACTTATGCATCTTTTTCATCCATACTCATTGAAAGCATCCTCAATGATCATTTAAATGTTTTAAAGTCGGACCTCCGAATTTCAAACTCTAGCACTTTAATGAGCTTTGGTCGGTTATTATTTCGCATCGTAAGTCAAAAAAATGCAACTCAATAAAATGGGCTAGCTGGAAAATCGAGTTTCCGAACTTTTCCTGTGCAACAAAAAGTTTGATGAACTCAAAAACTATCACTGCTGCTACAAAATTTTGAAGACAGCATCATTTTTACCGACTTTTTTATCATAGGAAAGTTTTTTATGACAGTCCGTTTTACCTACCAGAATTCAAAACCTAGCGATCAAGGTAATAAAAGTAACTAATTTCGTACAAGACTCGTTTCTTTTTTTTGCAAAATTTCGAATGGCACCAAATACATGAAAAAAGTTGGCTCAAATTAATGTGTGCTATTTCAGGTTACTGAAGGTTTTTATCAGTCTGTTTGGTCTGAAACATATCTATAGACGAGAATCTCAAATCAATCATTCATTTTTTTCAAGAAAAAAGTCTCAGAAAAGAGAAATTGGCTCTCAACAAATTTATTGACTGGATATGGAGCAAAGAATGAAAAATTCATTTAAAAAAAAACTGAATCGCTTTTCAAGCTAATTTAGACTCTAAGGCAAACTTAAAAACGTGTCTTTTGCTCTTGTTTTGTTTTTATTTTTGTTTTTGTCATTTTAAAAATTTTCTAGCTTTAAGCTCGGCAAAAGTCGAAAATATGGAAGGATCCAAGTAAAACTCAGCCAAAAAAGGTAATCATTGAGATTCTCTAGTCATTCAACTCATGATGATCACAAAAATTGGATTTTTTCAGATTACTGAACGTTTTTATCAGTCTTTTTGGTCTGAAGCATATCTATAGACAAGAGTTCTCAAATAAATCTTTTATTTTTTAATGAGAAAGTTCTCAGAAAAAAGAAATTGGCCCTCTACAAATTTATTGACTGGATATGGAGCAAAAAATCATTAAAAAATGAATCGATTTTCAAGCTAGAATAGACTGTAAGACAAACTAAAAAACGTGTCATTTATTCTTGTTGTGTTTTTATTTTTGTTTTTTCATCATCTTTGGAAACTTCTAGCACTAAGCTCGGCAAAAGTCGAAAATATGGAAGGCCCCAAGTAAAAATCAGCCAAAAAAGGTAATCATCGAGATCTTTTAATCATTCAACTGATGATCATACAGAAAAAATGACTTTTGAACTTCTGCAGTGTTAATTGAATTATTGGGTTATCATTGAGCTCCTGGTAGTAATCAAGATCATTTCTGATCGATATATACTATCTCACTAAATTGAAGATATATACAAAATTTTGCTCGCTGTTTATTCTCCTAATATGCCAAGTCAAACTATTCTGATAGAATAACCAGCCATTTTTTCAATTGAGCTGAACACTGAAGGATTGATTCTAGCAGTTACTCTAAAAATTTTCCAATCAAAAAATAACATCTCAAATGAAACAATTAAAAATTTTGTTTTCTTTTTTGTTTAGTTTTTTTCATTGTTTTTTATAGAGAGATACGTTTTCCTCTTAATTGGCGCAAAGTAAAGCACGCCTGAAGTTTTTTTGAAAAAGGATAAATAAAAATTCCTGGCCGAGTAATTTTTGTTTTTGATTGAACCTAAGTGTTCACCTGAAAAAAGCTCGGAGAAAATAAAATATCAAGCAAAAAAGGCTAACAAGGCTTTAGAAATCAAGAATCTTACTTTTTAAGGAATTAAGTGTTCGCACTGGTTGATACTGATGGTTTAGGAGTCACTAATATATTTCGACCTGATCACTAAAATCTTATGAAAACAAATAAGAATGTTTCTGTTTTCGCTTTTCTCACCCTTGTTTTTTAATCCTATTAGGAAGATACAATTCCTCCGGATTTTTTGTTGTTGCAAACTAACGGACACAAAAATGTTTTCAAAGAGGGCCAAAAAATCCTGGCCAATCAGAGCGCGACCAGGATTTTGATTGACACCTTAAAATTTACCGGAGAAAAAAATATCAAAAAGTTAAGGCTAACAAGAGTTTAGCAATCAAGAATCTTGCTTTTTTCAAATAAATTTTCACATTCGTTAATATTGATTGTTGATGAGTCACTAAAAGGTTCCCACTTGATCAATAACGTCTCTTGAAAACAAAGAAAAATTAACCTGAAAAAAGCTATGAGAAAAAAGTATCATGAAAATAAGGCTAAAAAAATTTAGCAATTCACAATTTTGCTTTTTAATCAATTCAGTCTTCGCACTGGTTGATACTGATGTTTTAGGAGTCACTAAAACATTTCGAATCAATCGATATTATCTCATGAAAAAAAAATAATTTTCCCTTTTCTTACCCTTAGTTTTTACTCTTTACTGGGAGTTACATTTCCGCCCGAAAATTTTTATTGGCCTAATTAACGGACAGCCAAACAAGAATCCAGGCCTGGCAAAGCCCGACCAGGGTTTTGATAGAAACCTAAGAATCCACCTGAAAAAAGCTAGAAATGAAATTAGCAACGAATTAAGGCTAACAAGAGCTTAGCAATCAAGAATTTCTTGCTATTTGGACAAACGCAGAGCGCTCTGTTTTTGTTCGATTTTGATTTTATTTTCACTAGAATTTTATGAATAGTTATTGAGCAATTCCTAAGTGAGTAATAAGGAGGTTTTATAGTTTTACTACTTTTGTAGTTTCAATTTACAAACAAACAAAATAATTTCGAATGAACAGTTGAATTTGTGTTTGATCTATTGCAGAACTTGTCAGCAATAATTAATTTTTAAAAGATCTTCAACGGGCAGTCTGCACAATTTTCATGTTCAAATTGATAGAAACGGTTAAAAAATAATAAAGATTTTGGCTAGTTCGTTTTTCATAGTATTACTAGCACTGTAATCAAAAAAAGGAAAAATGCCCATTCAAAAAAGGGGCTCCCCAGTTTTGACCTTAGAAGACTAAAATATGGAAGGTGCTTCATGTCGAAAAAAGGGTTGCCGAGTCGAAAAAATGAAAGCACCTTCATTTTTCCGACCCTGCCTACGATACTTCTAGTGCTACTACTACTACTACTACTACTACTACTACTTATTTTGTTTCGGTATTCAGTGATATTACACTATTTTAAAGCCTATTGAAATGTTAGTGACATCTTTTGAACAAACCGTATTTTCAATTGAAAGTCAAGAAATAATTGAATCACGCTCAAAATGGCCAGGTATTAAAAATTTTCATGTATCGATAAACGACGTTTAATCGAATCGCATTCGCGTGGAGAAGATTATATAGCTTTGGCCGACTGTTTGGGAATAAATCGGAACACTGCGTATACAATTATGCGGCGTGGGAGATATGAAAATTTACCACAAGGTAGATCATACAATCGCGAAAAATTGACGAAGTTATTATGAGCGCTATTGACATTCTGGAGGGCAATCCACTGATGACATTGCAGCAAGTGAATTTTGCGTTGAGAGCGCGGTTACCCAAAAAACCCCATTTTACCCAACAAGCACTATCAAAAGCATTAGAAGGGAGAATGATCACTTTCAAAATTGCGAGAGATTGTCCTGCAGAGCGTAACAGCGAAGAAAATATAGAAGATCGATACAACTATGCAATGTGGATCATGAGCCCTGACGTCATAAGTTTGCGAAAAAATTTTGTGGATAAATTTGGTGTAAATATCCACATGCGGCGTACTCAAGGGCGATCTGCTAAGGGTGACGGAGTATATAGAAAGATCAGTGCCCATAAAAGACCCAATGTTACAATCTGTTGCGCAGTTTCCACGGAAGGCCTTTTGCATTATCAGGTAATTCGAGGTGGAATGAAGGAGGAAATTTTCAAAAATTTTCTCAAAGATCTATGTGGAAACATTATCCTTGACGAACGGAACGATGTTGATGGTTTCTGCATTTTTGACAATGCTCCCGGGCACAGAGGAATCGAAGATATGGACCTTAGTGGAATATTCCCTCTGAGGAATCTCCCAAAGTTCAGCCCATTTCTAACTTTGGTTGAAGCTGCAATTTCGTGCTGAAAAGCGGCTATGAAACAAAAAATGCAAGAAGAGGTAGATTTGTTCATCAACGCTGATGCTTTGAAGGAGCCAGGACAAGCACTTCAGGATTACCGTTTCCGTTATGTCAAATCCATTGTGGAACGAACAAGTTGTGAGATTGCCCCACAGAAATGTGTTGGTTGGTACAATCATACGATGACTTATATCCCGGATTGTTTTGCCAGGAATAAAATAGATGGATGAACAATGGATGTTGCATAAAAACCGTTGATACTGTATATTATATTCTGTTTTTATTCGTTTGAAATAAGATGTTTTCAATTGAAGTCACTTGTGAGCACTCCATCGTTTTTCTATTCTTTAGAACTTAAGAAATAAATGGTCTTTCAATAGAAGTTACCTTTAATTCTTTTCAAATAACCGATTGTTCAATAGGCTTTGAAAAGGTGTAAACTGCAATTTTAGTAAACAGCAAAGAATTACCAGCGTTGCTCACGTTAGAAGGAAAGGTTGCAAAAATCAGTTGTTTTGACTATTTCCCTGATCTAAATAGCTGTTTGACAACTGTGCGTCTGCTGATGCTTTGAATATATTAGTTTCTCGTAACAGTAAAAAACGAATCCATAAAACGCGTGAAAAAATGAGTGAAATCCCGTCTACTTAAGGTTATACTGCATTTTTTTACAAGGAGCCAGTAGAATATGCAGTATAATCCTGCGTAGACGGGATTTCAATGCATTTTTACCGAGAGTTCCAAATTGATCTAGATCTCTCGGCAGAATCTAACCGCAGCTCTGAGGATTATCAAATCAGCCGCCTGTGGAACAGAAAACTAAAGTTCGAAGCTGTCTCGGTATGTTTTTAGAATCCCGAGCTAGATACAAAACCATCCTTAACAAACTTTAAAGCCTGGACTAATTTCTTGTCCGAGGGCCATTTCAAGATTCTTTATCACCGAAATAACCCCAATACTAAATATTAGTTCTTAGGTTTAATAAGCTCTTAGTCCTGAAGCTTGGCAAAAATGCACAGAAGAAACGGCAAACATTTTTTTGTCAATATTTTTTATTTGATTTGCATAAATTTTTGTCGGTTTTCTGTTTAGATTCACAGAAGCAGTGACCAGAATTAGAAATCGGCACAACACAGTTGTCAAAACAGTAGCGGAGGTTAGGTTCATTTGTCACCGCATTCTGTTATATGAAGGAATTATAGTGCCTTCTAGATTTTAACTAGGCTAGGTAGTGCTCGAGGCGGGAATTATTATGGTTGCAATGATTGTAAATCTAGCAATAAGCTGATTTTCAAGATCAAGTTATCAAACATCCCTCCAACTCTCTTAGGCTAATTGTTGTGATAAACTGATTAAATAGTTCCAGAAAGGAATGATAGTCAAGTTGATCTTCCGAAGTACAAGAAGTCAAAAAAGCTGTCAACTCTAACCCCGAAGAAATGGATATTCCTGACACGATAAGGAATCTACTGAACCTCATTGAAATTCAACTAACAAAAATTCAAATACTAGAAGAGAAGCAAAAAAGTACTGTCATAATACGAACAATATTCTCGAATTGTCCAATCGAGTTAGAGAAAAACCGTGCTTGATGTTCGTCAGCTTAGAATATGGACCAAACCCTCTATCCGATATTCTGCAATTGTTGAAAAAAAATCTGGAAATAAATGTCAATGAAAGAAACATTGCAGCCTGTCATCCCTTGAGTAGTAACCCCAAATCACCTATTAATATTAATTTCCTTTTCCATGCGGACAGAGATATTGTATGGAGAAAATCGTGGCTGAAATCAGTACGAACTTCACGGTACTTGTCAATCCTTGTTGAGGAATGCATTGCACCATGTCATGTCATAGACAGATAAAAGTGAAAGCAAGGCGTTTATGGAGTTCGAGTAAACCCACAAACAAAATGCTTACGCTAGAGATCCAGTTAACCCTTCTAATGATGCGGGGCAAATGAAATCTCCGCAATGAATATCTTAGTTATAAGCTGATTTTCAAGATAGCAATAAGCTGATTTTCAAGATCAAGTTATCAAACATTCCTCCAACTCTCTTAGCCTAATTGTTGTGATAAACTGATTGAATAGTTCCAGAAAGGAATGATTGTCAAGTTGAACTTTCCAAAGTACAAGAAATCAAAAAAGCTATCAACTCTAACCCCGAAGAAATGGATATCCCTGACACGATAAGGAAACTACTGAACCTCATTGAAATTCAACTAACAAAAGTTCAAATACTAGAAGAGAAGCAAAATAGTATTGTCAAAATTAGTTCATAATACGAACAATAATCTCGAATTATCCAATCCAGTTGGAGAAAAACGGTGCTTGATGTTCGTCAACTTAGAATATGGACCAAACTCTCTATCCGATTTTCTGAAATTGTTGAGAAAAAATCTGGAACTAAATCTCAATGAAAGAAACATTGCAGCCTGTCATCCCTTGAGTAGTAACCCCAATTCACCTATTATTGTTAATTTCATTATCCATGTGGACAGGGATATTATATGGAGAAAATCGTGGCTGAAATCAGTACTTGTTGAGGAATGCCTTGCACCATGTCAGACAGATAGAAGTCGAAGCAATGTGTTTATGGAGTTCGAGTATACACCCACAAAAAAAAAGCTTACGCTAGAGATTCAGTTAACCCTTCTAATGATGCGGTGCAAATAAAATCTCCACGAACTGAACTCGTTTGTGCTAAAAATTGTACAAAAAGAACTATCTCACCGTCCAATTGTTGAAAAAGAAGACAATGACGACAATGCACTGGATATCATAAACTGGTTGGACTGTCTAGAAACACCAAAACCTCCGCCGATGTAGGGAAAACCAGGCACTGTAGTATCATCTTATAGTAGATCAAAAAGAAAGTGCGCAATGTCCTCAAGTGATGAAGATCAGCAGAAAGAGCTAACAGAGAGCATCATCAAAGGATTAGTACCTGAAATCATCAAAGCTCTACAAGCTGAGAAAAGTTAGCTTGAAACATCTCTCCAACCAATGAAAATTCCTGAAATCAAAATGATAATCCCTTTAAAAAAAGTAAGGATCAGAATGATAGTTGTCCTGGTGCTAAAATTTCAATAATGCATTTGAACATTGGATTTTTTGGAAACATTTTGAAGATTGAGAGGCGATAATATAGTGTCTTGAGTCTCATCATGTTACTTGTTTGTCTGAGACATGGCTTAAACTGGACGATGATCCCCAATTTTTCTTGTAAAAGGCTATGAAGAATTCAAGTCTGAAGCAGATGACTACAGAGGGGAGGTGGGTTGATACAATCACTTGAAGGATGTTCGATTGTGAAAGACAATTATGTATCATTGGACGACGCAATATCTGCTAATCTGAGTAAGAAGATTAAGCTTCAACTTAACTTTTATTTACAATAAGCCAAGAAACTACAACTTGCAGTTCATTGAAGATTTGGATAACCTACTAGAAAACTAATCATTTGAATCCATACCGCATGTTTTGTGTGGAGATTTCAATTGATGTATCAAAACAAAATCTCTTAAACACATAATTACAATTATACAGTCGAATCGAACGGTTTTGAACTCTTATCAAAGAGGCCGAAGCGCGTAACTGATCACTCGGCTACATGTATTGACCATTTTGCCATCAAAAATTTAAATACTGCAGCTGCGACAATTTTAAAACATGAAAATTTTAGCGATGACTGTCCAAAAACTGTTTGTTTCCCCCTTAAAAATCTATTGAACAGTCCATCTTGAATTTTTTAGAGATGTTTTTTTTTGCAAAAGATCGAGAACAAACTGAAAAATATCTTTTTCTGCTACAACACAAACTGAGCTAACTAGTTGTACCGGACGATGCGAATGCATCCTTCAATGATTTTAGAAATATCTTCATAGAAGCAGTCAACAAATTCCGTGCAGTTAGGAAGTTGAATCAGGGCTATAAATTATCAAATTTTTTCAGTAATCGCATTTGAATTTTACGAACTAAAGGAAATCAGGCGCACACAACCCGGATAAATGATTAAGTGAACGCAGAGAAAAAAACTAGTTTCAATTTATTGCGGTAAGTTGAAAAAGAGACTAAGATCAATTTAAAAATTGTTTCAGACTCAAAACAGACGTTTAAGTTATTAAATGATCCAAAGGTCAGCGTATTCAAGTCTGAAACTTTAGTTGAGATAACGTGCGCTGAGTTCGGCGCAATTCGTACCAAGCAAGTGATAGTAGAAATTTCAAATGACTTTTTTTTACATCAATTGTTTTGATTATCACTAGAAATCTGAAAGCCTTGCACCATTAATGAGGAATGCCTTGCATCATGTGATAGACAGATAAAAGTGGTAGCAAGGCGTTTAGGAGTTTCAGTGTTCACCCACAAACAAAATTATTACACTAGAGTTACAGTTAACCCTTGTAATGATGCGGTGCAAATAAAATCTCCACGAACTGAACTCGTTTGTGCTAAAAATTGTACTAAAAGAACTATCTCACCGTCCAATTGTTGAAGAAGAAGACAATGACGACAATGCACTGGATATCAGAAACTGGGCGGACTGTCTAGAAAATCAAAAACTCCACCGATGTAGCGAAAACCAGGCACTGTACGATCTTTTAGTAGATCAAAAAGAAAGTGCGCAATGTCCCCCATTGATGAAGATCAGCAGAAAGAGCTAACAGAGAGCATCATCAAGAGATTGGTACCTGCCTTTTGATGATCCCTTCGAAAAAAAAGTAAGGATCAGAATGATAGTTGTCCTGGTGCTAAAATATCAATAATGCAAGTGAACATTAGATCTGTTTGGAAAGGTTTTGAAGATTGAGAGGTGCCAATATACTGTCTTGAGTCTCCTTCTCATGTTCTTTGTCTGTCTGACACATGGCTTAAACTGGACGATGATCCCTCAATTTTTCTGGTAAAATGTTATGACGAATTTATGTCTAAAGCACGTGACTTCGTTGGGGAGGTGGGTTGATACAAACACTTGAAGGATATTCGACTGTAAAAGATCAATCTGTATCATTGGACGACGCAATATCTGCTAATTTGAATGTAAGAGGATTAAGCTTTAACTTAATCTTTATTTACAATAAGCCAAGAAACAACAACTTGCAGTTCCTTGAAGATTTGGATAACCTACTAGAAAGCTAATCATTAGAATCCATACCGCATGTTTTGTGTGGAGATTTGAATTGATGTATCAAAACAAAATCTCTAAAGGCATAATTACAATTATACAGTCGAATCGAACGGTTTTGAACTCTTATCAAAGAGGCCGACGCGCGTAACTGATCACTCGGCTACATGTATTGACCATTTTGCCATCAAAAGTTTAAATACTGCAGCTGCGACCATTTTAGAACATGAAAATTTTAGCGATGACTGTCCAAAAACTGTTTGTTTCCCCCTTTAAAATCTATTGAACAGTCCATCTTGAATTTTTTAGAGATGTTTCTTTTGCAAAAGATCGAGAACAAACTGAAAAATATCTTTTTCTGCTACAACACAAATTGAGCTAACTATTTGTACCGGACGATGCGAATGCATCCTTCAACGATTTTAGAAATATCTTCTTAGAAGCAGTCAACAAATTCGATGCAGTTGGGAAGTTGAACCAGGGCAATAAATTATCAAATTTTTTCAGTTATCGCATTTGAATTTTACGAACTAAAGGAAATCAGGCGCACAAAACCTGGATAAATGATTAAGTCAACGCAGAGAAAAGAACTAGGTTCAATTTATTGTCGTAAGTTGAAAAAGAGACTAAGATCAATTTAAAAATTGTTTCGGAGACTCAAAACAGACGTTTAAGTTATTAAATGATCCAAAGGTCAGCGTGTTCAAGTCTGAAAATTTAGTTGAGGTAACGTGCGCTGAGTTCGGCGCAATTCGTTCCAAGCAAGTGATAGTAGAAACTTCAAAGACTTTTTTACAACAGTTGTTATGATTATCACAAGAAATCTGAAAGCCTTGCATCATTAATGAAGAATGCCTTGCATCATGTGATAGACAGATAAAAGTGATAGCAAGGCGTTTAGGAGTTTCAGTGTACACCCACAAACAAAATGATTACACTAGAGTTACAGTTAACCCTTCTAATGGTGCGGTTCAAATAAAATCTCCACGAACTGAACTCGTTTGTGCTAAAAATTGTACAAAAAGGAC